GCAGGACATTTCGGAATAGAGAAGACTATGGAATTTATTCGAGGGGCATATTGGTTTCCGCGGATGAGAGATTACGTGAAATTCCGCGTGAAATTACAAGCGTGCCTAGATTGTATTTTTAACAAAACGGTGACGAGGAAACAGGATGGGGTCTGCAATCCGATCCGACCCGAGAGGAGACCCTTCGAAAAGCTTTTCATCGATCCTAGGGGGCCGACACCAGCGTCTTTTGGTAATCAACACTTGATCGCGATGGTCGAAGGGCACCAGCGGTGATCAACTTTCTTCAGAAAATGTTCATGACGTACGGCAATCCCGCAAAGCTAGAATCTGATAGGGGAACAGCTTACACACCGAATGCATTCCGGGAATTCTTGGAACAGAACGGACTTCGACACACGCTGATCAGCACTCAGCGCCCGCAGAGCAACGGACAAGTCGGGCGGTTGAACAAAGAGGTAGCGAGGCTACTCCGCTCTCTGTGTGAAGACGAGCTTGGAAAGGACTGGTCAAGGCATGTTCCGAGAGCAATGATGATGCTCAACAGAGTGATTTCGAGAAGATTGGGAAATCACCTTCTGAAGTACTGCACGGATACCTTCCGCGACTGAACAATCATTCACAGGGAATCGAAGAAGCGCAGGAGCAAGTCTGGCGACCAGCGGAAGAGCTACAGGACGATATCATCAAGAAGTGGGAGGAGAGTCCGGATCGCTACGCTTACTACTGCGATCGGAGGAGAAGATCGCACTATCTCCGCTTTTCTGTAGGGGATGTGGTGGCTGTAAGCCGTCTGCCAATTCACACCGGGCTGCCGACGAAACTACAGCCGAAATACAGGGGTCCACTAGTCATAACCCAAGTCTTGCCTAGGGATACTTAAAGACTAGTTCAGCTAGGGGACAAATATTATACCTGTTTTGCGCACTGGTCTCGATTGAGATGGTATCGAGTGCATAAGGAGGAAGCAGATAATTTTCCGAGATTTCAGAAGATCAGCTAGAAGATCGTCAAGAGTTCGTTCCGAGAGAGAACTCAGGGAGACGGAGATCCCGTCCAACGAAGACACTGCGGAACCCGAGACCGCAGCAGGGAACAGTGAATCCGTTCGGAAGACAGGCGAATCGGAGACACTCGAAACACTAGACGAGATTCTGGAGACAACAGAGCTGAGATTCGAGGCGGATTCCGAGCAACATGAAGAGGAAGCGTCGCTCGGAAGAGTAGACAAGTCCGAAGAAATTGGAGAATCTACACGAGTGGAGGAAAGCTATATCCAGCCACAGAAGTTGGCCGATGTTGTGGATATATCTTCGTCGCCAGCGTCATCAAAGGAAATCCAGATTCAGGTAGAGCCAGCGATGTATCCGGAACCACGGAAAGCACCGAATGATCTGAATACTTTATTATGGAATGCCCGGGCGCGGATGGGGAAGAGGAAACCCGCCATCTAGACGTTCTAAGAGAGCGGAGTCTTCCAGGGGTACTCATTCGAAGTGGCTGGCGGGGACGCCAATGGTGTAGCGTGATCGAGAGTGGATAAGGAGAGAAGCAAATGTGGAGTGCTGGCGGGATGGAGAAGAGGCGGCGAGATGTATTCGGAGCTGTTGGTATAGAATGTCAGTCTGGTGAACGGTGTGGGATTTCGTCAAATGTTCGACTTGAGATGTCGGGAGGCAACTTCGAGGAAGATGTCGTATGGCACATTCGCGAAGAGAGAAAGGGATCCCGTTGGAGATGAGCGCGTCGGCGCAGTCGTAGAGTCTTTTCGAGGCCAAGCGTCGGAGTGTGTGTATCGAAGCTGAGTCGGAACCAAAAGCAAGAGAACTTTTCGAGATGTCTGGTCACCGACTATGTGAGGGATGCGGGTGCAACACCCATGTGATCGGGTCCGTGTACTGCAAGGCGAGGGACGCCAGGTGTTCGATGTGCCGTCGAGAGGGACACTACGCGCGATGTTGTCCGAGAGCCGCTTTCGAGACCTGCCTGACGTGCGGGAGGGTAGGCCATCTTTCGACAGCGTGCCGAGAGCGCTGGGCCCGGACGGACAATCGCCAGGGGAACCTCGCGCCGAGAGCAGGAGGGAGCACGGCTGCGAAAGCCACGATCCAGTCGAGGGAAATTCCGGCCGGCGCATCGGCTTCGGCGACGGTGAGCATCGGAGACGGCGCTGAGGCAGGCGGCAGCACCACAGCAGCGTCAACGGCGGCCACGACAGCTCCGGAGACGGCAAACGCGGTCCGACCTCGACCAGCCCGGTCGTTGGTAGCGGCAGTGGCAGGGGCGCGTCGCGCGGCAGCGCGGGGGAGTCCGGCGGAAGCGGAGGCAGCAGCCACCGCTGCGAGAGTGGCCGTCAGAGCGGAGGAAGCGTCCTCAGCTGCGGTGGGGAAATCGACACGCGACGCGGCGACGCTCACGTACATCCATGGGGAGCGACTCATGGTGGTCTGTTGCATCTGTAACGACGCGCCGTTCGAGGCGGTCGCCCCGTGGTGCGGGCACATTGCGTGCCGGCGTTGCGCGTTCTCGTGGCTCCATACGCGAAAAAGAGACCGGTGCCCGGTTTGTTCGGCGACGCTGAGTCTCGCTCAGTATCGTCATATCTATTTCAACGGAACCGCTGACTACGTCGACCGAAGGTGACGGCTGGAGTTGGAGTTAGATACCATCGTCGGACGAGACCTGGAGGATATCGACGTCCCATCTCGACCACCACCCCGAGTCAGGGCAAGGCGGCCGACCGATTTCGAGCTGGACCTGGACGTGGAGGAGGCCATTCAAGTCGCCGCGGAGGAGGCAATTCGAGTTGCAGCGGCCATGGACATCGGATCCCCGGTCGAAACTTATTCGGGTGGACACTTGGACAAGTCCGAAAAATGCAAGCACCGCGTGGCAGCCGATGGGATTCTCCAACCCGCACGTGACGACTTCTTGGTGCTGTCACGCGGATCTGCTCTATTGACAGTGAGGTCTCGGTTCCTCTCAGGCTCCGACTGATGGTAGGGGAGACGAAGGGGGAAAGCCGTGGTGGAATGTGAGTAAAGCGTGAATTGTTCTGAACCCCAATGAGTGCATTCAATCCCAATGATCCCTCTGATCCGTCGTGGTGAATCCGATAATTTCGGGTATTGGCTCTTGCTATGGCACTTTTCCCATTGAGTCATTGCCAATTCCATCATGGCGACGAACTCCGGCGTCGTGTCCCAGAGGCGGGCCCTCGGAGCCCGCTCACTATGAAGATCTCTATCTGAAAGGCTAGGCATCGGAGTCTGGGCTCCAGGACACGCGTGGCATGTGAAGGAGGGGGCTCTGATTCCTTGCGAAGCCATATCTGACTGACAAGGGCATGCTCATCTTTTGTTTCTGAAGGGGCGAGTCGAATTTCCGGGGGGAGGCGCATCAGATGGTAATTAGAACGCGCCTTTTCGTGGCCTATGCTCGGATGATGCGAACGACGATATGGGCGCAGAGTGCCATGCCCCCCTTGCCCTCATCATGCGCCACGAAAGTACGAACGGCGATCGTCATATGAGCGATGCCGCGCATAGATCATACCCATGTTCATCGGGGCAGCTCCACTGAGCGCTCGGCTCTCCATCAGTCGAGCTCTGCCGAAATCCTTCTCTCCGCCAGCTCGAGCCCCTTTCAGAATTTTCGTCTCGAAACCGCTATCCAGTATACGAATACCAGCCGTCCCCTCTCTCTTGGAGTTTCTCGTTCGCAAGATTAGCACCCCTCGGCGGAGAATTCGGAATTCCTATTTCAATTGGCTCCATCTCGAGATTTTAACTCCCTCTCCCATCCTCAGGAGGTGGTGCTGTCACAGCGTATGGAATCCGGACAAGGTCATTCCTCGTCGGGATTACACCATGGCTCGGACCCGAGGTGAAGGTTTCTGGAAGTTTCCGCATAAGCAATGAGGGGATATTCTGGCGTGGCTCCAGAACTCCAGACACAGTGAATTACGACGAGCGGGTTAGCTACGAGTCCTGAGGTGGAGACGTCGATTATCAGAGAGGCCTGCTGCGCTCCTCTGATGATTGCACCCGGTGTTCCGAGGGGCGAGATTCTGCCCGCGGATACTCGTGAGTATTTTGAGACTTTTCATCAGGATTCGTCACTGAACCCCATGAGTAGAGTTCCTAAATTTCGGACATTTTCATTTTCCGACTCTCGAATGAGGATAGATCCGATTGC